CAGCTCTTCCTGGGTTGGTTTTGATAGTTTAACGCCAGCGGGTGTTTTTAAGCAATCAAAGATTTCACTTGTATGTGGCTAGTTATGTACATATGTATTTTGGATGTTGTTGTTGATTTTGTTGCAGGCAGTTCTTGTTGCTTGCTATACTCATATGATATTTATGGTTTTACTGCAGTTGTTGTTTGTATGTATTCGCTTTTGACGTATTGATGTCGCTGGCCACTGTCAGTTTGGTTTGACAGCTGTGCTGATTGACAATTTTCACTACATATTCCAGGAAATTCTTCAAAGGTGGTGGCGTTAAATGAGTCAAACATGCATAAGACCCAACAAGAAAGCTTATTTGTTGTAAGATGCCATAAATTATTGATTTATAAGCACAGACGCATGCTTGACGTCTCTTCTTTTAATCTCTATTATCATTCCTGGAATACATAACTAAGAAACTAAATCGCAATTAAGGAGTGAATGGCTAAAATTTCGACTATTAAAAGCAACAGCTGGATTTCAAGAGCCGATACTGCTTCTTCGAATGCACAAAAGATGACTCTGGCTTGGAAGAGAATTAGATTGAAAATGTTTTGGATTTAGATGAATACTTACAACTAAGATCTAACAGGTTCAAGGCCCTGTAAATAAGGCAAACGAACTTGACCGATGTTTTGATAGCTTTACCGTTGAAACGCAATGCCGGCGAACGGTGAATTATTTGAGAACGCACACAACTAAAGCAAACGCCGAAGTTCGCTCGAAGACTGTTTGCGACGATAGAAATGCAAATTTAACTACTTACCACTAAGGTTCGTGACATATTTCACAAGATATTTACATGGTGAACAACTGAAGTGTCACCTATCTCTTGTCGATCTCTGAGTTTGTCTGCGCCCCTCATAAAGCTGAGCTCTCTGCCAACTTAAAAACCTTGAGCAGACATAAGGAAGACCTTTCTTTCCTAGGTTCTAGAAGTATTATGGAAATATTGATTCAAGAATATTTACTACATACTTTCCGAGCGAGAAGAAAGACTTGGTTGATATCAATATTTGCATTTAAAATTTTGTATATGGCAGACGAATGTTCTTTAGAAAATGTATCTCTGTAGTTATTTTAATTTTATTCTACGAGTGATTATATCCTTCGTCTTATTAAACAATTCAACATTTTCCCCTCTTCATATGAGTTTAGACCTTTCGTGAAGGTTATTAAAAAGTGCCTCAATTCAAGGAAATCTACACAAACTCAGGGCTATGCCTTCCAATATGAGTACGATACCATCCCAAACATTACACAGCCAACTGAAATTTGGCAACATAGCGCGGGCGCAATTTTTACCTTCGTCACTTCACTCAAACGCGTGTGTATGCCTCTCCACGCATTTCATTCTTTCTTGCCTCATGAAACGCACTCATTACGCCACATTCATTGTGCATTCTCATTCATTTGGTATAACACCGTCAATGGACACGTTTCCACATTCTTGATTCCCCCGGGGAATAGCAAAGCAATAAGAAGCACCCGCGTACCACAAAACAGAGGCAAGCATGCAGTGATAGCTCTGTGTATACGTGCGTATGACTTTAAGTAAGCATATCTGTGTTAAGCATCATACAACTTTTGACTGCTTAGGCTTTTTGTACTTACTTATGTGCTTCAATTTTATATTTCTATTATTTTTTTCTTTTTATTTCATTCATTCTTCACACATTCGCACTCACTTGAACAACAACAAAGGCACTTGATAAGCAGGCAGATGAACGCTGTAGTTGAATGGCGAATAAATTATGCCAAGCACTTTGAAATATCGAGCGCGCGCGCCCGACGATTCTAACAAAACGATTCGCCTTTGGTCTCCCAAGAGTTTGCATGCAACAGTGCGCCCTGAAATATAAATAAATAGTTAAAGCAAAACACAAACGATGTTAATGATAAGACAACACAAAATATACTCACCACATACATACATATATTGCAGAGTTCTTCTATTCGAACAATTTACCTAAAATATGTATTTCACTCACCATCTCTCGGTTGGTAGTAGTGCCTGCAGCTTCGGTTATATATATTTATGGAAAACATATTTCCTTCGAATCACGTGAATTGCTCCTTAACTTTGTTGAACTGCGCTGAGCTGTGCAGCTCTGGGAAATGCGTGCTTGCGCTGCTTTAGCTATGTCGCCTTTGGGCCTATAACTGCTGCTGCCATAATTTACTCTTGCCCACCTTCTTCTACTCTCCTTATTCTTCTACTACTGCTTCGTTCGCCTGCGGCTAGGGCGTCTTACCTAAACATCTTGCGCCTGTTGTTGGCTTGCTGAGTTTAGCTCGACTCCACCTACTGCTCTTTAGGGGCATACTGCCATCTTTAATATTTAACCACGCTTAATTTCATTCTAAATCACACTCCAGGGGAGTAGGTTGTGCAACGATTCTTACATTCTTACTGGCGGTCTAATCCACTGCCTTCACGCAGCTCACCTGGCGGTCGCTGCAACAACGTCCCATTTTCTAGTTGCTTGTCGATGAATTTTGAATTTTTAATGAGCTCATCTTCTGTCGGCCGCTTTTCCTCCCACTGCCACTTACCTCTGCCCAGTTTACCAAGTCATCGTTTGCATTTGGGTTACTTCCTCTGGTGCTGGTGGTGAAGGCAAATCACCTCACTTGCTGGATATTAAATCTATTTTATGGCATATTAAAATATGTAAAAGTAGCTGAATTCCATAACAGCTCTAAAGATTTGTATACGGAAATAGAATGTGCAATGGTACCTGTAGCTTAAATTGGTTTCTGTAGGGAATGTAATATTTGGTAGTTGATTTATACGCAGTTGATGCCATATCTTACGTCCAAGTATGAAATGCTTCCAAGTGTCAGCAAGAGTAAAATCATTTTTGTAATTTATGAACTTTTAAGGTAACTATTTGACCCCAGGGAATGGGATATAATCAACATAAAAAGTCGTTAAGAAAGAACTTAGGAACAGGCTTTGAAGTATAATTTGTAGAAAAATGTTTTAAATTGACATTTGGATAAGATAAATTGGATTTAAAGAATGAAAGAGGAGGAGAGAAACAATGGCGCTTAAAAATTCCTGGAAAGTGTGCTCGAAAACACAACAGGACAACGCTGATTGTCGATTGTATCAGCTGGATATATCTTCGAAAAAAGGGTAGGCTGATTGGGGGGTGCAAGAAACACCAGATGCCCGTGAAGGATAACTCCGTCACTGAGCTGCGCTGCAAAAAAAGGACCTATATTAGAATGAAAGAAGCCGTAAGTGAGCGGAAAATCTTTTCGAAAATTGGGACATGGAATTTACCGCTGAGGAGGCTAGTAAGGTGATGTCACCGCTCGACCCAACCTCGGCCATCAATACATGGAACTCCCTCCCTCCGACGCCATGGAGAGGTCATACAAGCAGTTTAAAAGCAGTGAGGGCAGTCTATCGTTGATATTGTACTTCACTATGTCGGCGACGCCCTACATGACTTCCTGGAAAGGATCGAAGAGCTGGCAGCATGTTACCGTACCCACCACCTTCTCCCCACTCTGCTCGAGGTACTATGTGGTGAGGTCTTCCAGAGCCGAAGGCAACAGATTCATTCATGGGCTGGATACCAAACCGAAGTAGTTTGGATTTTTCTACCAAAACGGCATGTGAGGTAATTGGAAGACGCTACTCAGCAGCGGAGGCAGGGAAAAGGCCAAAAACTATATATATTCTTGCCCTCCAGACACTGATACGTTAGCACGTGAAAATTCTCAAGGAATACCACCCTAAGTGTATCTACGATGGCTTCCTCATATAATACTTTTTGTAAAGAGCAGCGATTTCCAGTCTCCGCAAGTGTTCATCGCTCTTATCAGTAGCTCATCCGTGTAAGTACTATTCTGCTTAGAACACAGTATCAGTCTCCGTATTATGCTGTCAACGAAACAGTTGACAGTGATATTTGATAAATCAGCTCTGGGTTCCTGCAAGCTAACTGTAATTTATCCGAAATACATGGCGGAAATAAGTCTCATTTTTAAACTTCAGGTTCCACATCGACGACTCCGAATGCATCTTCACGACCACCTCTTGGGAGCAAAGGTGACTCTAAATCCGCGACCGAGTCTTCTGTTTCCAATACCCAGCCAACATTTTTTTGATTCAATTTTCAACGTTGGAAGAAGCTTCCAAAAGGTTCCCAATACGTTAAGGGCTGACTCTAAGCTCATTTCGAGAGGTGCGTCGAAAAACTCGGTTACCGATTGCCCTACAAGGGGACAATAATATTAACTCTGCCCTGGCGGTTCAATAGAAAGGAAGGGCGCTCGTTCTTCGGTCAATTAAATTACTTATTTAGTTAGCTAACTTTAAGAAATAGACTTAGATAATTCTTCTTAAGAAAATTTGAAAGTTTCACCACCGTTATTTTTGAGTTTTATTTTTTTACTTAAGAAAAATGAACATTCAAAAAATTTAAAAGCTATACCATGATAAAAATATAGCAAGGTAGAACCGTTCTCTCAATTTGTCGGCCATGATTTTTTTTTGAAGTTTGCCAACATTTTAAAATCATATAAAAGTGAAAATAAAAAATTGAAATTGTTCGAAATTGTTGTTGCTTGAGATTGAAAATGAAAATGTGTGTGTGAGTTTGTGAGTAAATTTAAAAATTAAATTGTTTGGAAACGTCAAGAATTTTAAAAGTGACTCTCAGCGGTTCTACCTTACTATATTTTTATCATGGTTCTACCTTACTATATTTTTATCATGAGCTATGCCAACGTGATTTCCGAAAAAATAAAAATCAAGTAATAATGATTTCCTTTGAGTGAAAAAATAGAACTCAAATATTAATTATTCATTTAAATCTTTATTGTTTAAACTCGAAAAATAAAAATCATTGTAAATTCCAGTAGGACGTACGAACACAAATACGTGAGTATAATTAAAATTGTTTTACGACGATTACAGCTTGTTGACTTTTTTGGTTAAAATTAAAATAATAATGATTATTTTCCATCCCTGCCGGCAAGTATTTTCCATCTGGCAACTTCTGTCTTTCTCAACCAAGTTTTCTACAGGTCCCATGTAGCTCCGGAAACCAGACTAAGACGAACACTTTCAAATTTTATTAACTGAAAAAAAAAACAATCCCTTAAAGTTATAAGGTCCTAGTAATTAAGTAAAACTATTATTTTAAAAATATATAAGTAACTCATTGATCATTAATTTCTGATTTCTAATTCGACGTTTTTTTTTTCTTTTACAGGAATTACGCGATTGTGGTGCGCCATGCCATGCCATGTTTTTCCCTGAAAAAGAGCGCACTGTGCTGCGTTATTGGGTCGGCTCTTGGGCGGCTGTCTGTGTGGCAAGCTGCCTCTTTACGGTAAGTGCGAAATCTGTGAACAATTACGTTAAAACTTATTCAATGACGTAAGTTAACTTAGTTAGTAGCGCAAATTATGATTAATTTCATGAGCTGGCTTATGGCTCAGAAAATGTGCTGCCAGGTCAATAGACTCATATTTTAATGGACAAATCATTTATCAATCTGTAGTCGTCGAAGGAAAATGAAAGCAGCTGAGTTAGGTGATGTCTGAAAGGAAGAAGATTATACTTATATGCACACATACATATGTACATTGTTAGAAGTAAGTACTTAGCTTTTGCTTCGCCAGATGGCATCGCACACACAATATTTAAAAAAAAGGACATAGCAAGCTACTTGGCGCCAAGCAAGCAAGCCAAAAGTGAGGCAATAGGATACGAGCAAGCAGCAAAAGGGGGAGTACCGAGTAGAGACAACTACACAAAAAACATCCTTAACGTGACATAGTACCTGTCAGTGTGTATTGTATTTTTCAATAACAGCAGCTTACAGACAAATCGGCGTGCCAGCTGAAACTTGTACGTCAGCAGCATATCAATATCGAGTGGCATTGTGTGTCCGAGCAAAAAGTACAGCAAAAAGACATATTGGTTGTTCACCCTCACGCACCCAAACAAGAAAAAATTACCATAAGAAACAGCAGCTGTATTTTAACATTTAAATGAAAAATCAATTTTATTTGCAAGCAAAGCTGTACGAAAAAAATAATGAAAAGCGGTAGACTGTAGATTGTAGGATTGGCTGAGATTATATTTTGGTGCTGGAGGCATTTTGCAACCAGCGCCATGAACAAGGATTTTGGTTGTTAAGGAAAGAGCAAATCAATGCAGAAAGTTAAAATGGTTTTTGCCGCAAGCTCGGAGACACTTGTCTTCAACATAAAAGACAAAAAAATATGCCATTTTATGTAACGCATATGTGACTAGACTTGTACTGTCATAACTGCTTGGTCTGAATGACAACCAACGATTTTTATACTTGTACGTTGAAATAGATGCGTACACAAGTACAGTATATTCCGTTTAGCTGTATTTACTTCCACTGCAAATGATTTGGTGCACTTAAGGGAAATGTGCAGCAAAGCGAAAAGATAAAAAATGTGATCTGGTTTGTTTTAGATTTTTAATATTTTTTTCATTGCTGTTTTTTATGATTTTTTTTAAGTACTTAATATGCATAATGCCTCTTTAACACTAGTCGCTTTAGGGGCATTTATATTTTCTTCTGGGTCCTCATCGCCACTACTGTTTTCAGATGAGGGATATGTTGTAAGCAAAAAAAAACCTTTGAAAAAATTTTAGTGCTGGTAAGCGAAGAGTTTTTCATACAAATCGATGAAAACTTACTCAAAAATAGGGCTGTTAAACGGAAGAGGGTTGCTAAGAGGAAATGCAGCTAAAAGTGAAAATTTCGAACCAAATCCATTTCAGGAAGCAGTATTTTGGCAAAATTGTAAACGTAAACAGAAAATGTACCTAAGCGAGTAGGCAGCTAAACAGAATATACTGTACATATGTTACGACCTCTTTTAGTGAAGAAATATTGCAAATTTGGTGTCGTGTTTTTGCCAAAAATATTATCAATATCCATATTGTATATTCGGGCTTATATTAGGGTGATTGACTCGGTTTTTCCAAAACCGTTTTTTACATTCATAATCGGTTTTTTGAAATCTTTGTTTTTCGAATATCGAATAAACCGGATTTTTCTGCCGAACAAACCGGTTTTTTCATTTCATAAAAATCTTGAGCTCTCAAGTTTTGAGTTTTCGGAGTTTTCAAGGCTTTTTCCAGTTTACGGGAAACCCCTAAATAGTTTTAAAATTATATACTAGGTCAAAAAACTATTTTTTATAAATGACCCAAAAACCACCAAAAATGCAATTGTTGTATTTAAAAATTTTAAAGTACACAATTGGGTATTATTACTGAAGAGGAAACAGAGTTTCCCAATAGAAAAGTATTTATTTTCAAGAACTTGATACCACTTCTACGTAAAATAGCTTTTTTCCCATACATATAAAATAAATGGAAAACTTTGAGCGCTTTGAGCAACCTCTAAATATTTTTTGATTTTGAAATAAAAAACCAGGGTTATATTTTTTTGGGGCATTAAAATTGGGACTTCTCTACTTCACATGCATCTTTGGACCACCCTATTATTCACTGTTGTTTCTTCTTATTGTTTTAATTATAAAATGTGTTCAAATCAAAAGCAAAAGGCCGTCCACAATTTTTCTAAACTATACTTAGCGCCGACAAATATTCTATCTACACATCTAGCCCTGCAATCACTTAGTCCCATCTACTAATAACTTCCGCATTAAATTAACACACCCACTAAACTAAAACCTGCTATTAACCACCTAATATTAAAAAGAATTCAAAATTTAACACTCCTTTAAAAATTTTGTAAGCCGACAAGAGCCCACACTTTCCGCTTGGAAAATCACTAATCTGTAATTTTCAGCATATCAATGCGCGACTAAATTTCCACAGACAGCCAACAAAGTCGAATTTAAAGCTTCGCTTACATAAATTTGCTGCTAGAGTAAGTGCGAACAATGATGGAAAAGATAGATGAGTGCTGGCAGCACACACCTTAAAAAACGACTTGTGTCGAGATAATTTGTAAAATTATAGCTTACCCAACGGCTTTTAGATGAATGAATAATAGTATTATAGAAATGTAATTTGCATTTTTTGGCAGCATAGAGAAATTACTGTATTTTTTCGGTTTGATGGTTTGTTTTTTGTGTTGCCTTATTTTATTTGCCTATGAATGGTTTTTTATTACGTATATTTATATTATATTATTATTATTATTATTATTATTACTTGCCACTCTGAATAACGATGTAGCACCCGCTCGAATACACAAAAAAAAAACTTAGTTGCCTAGTGCTGTTTTCTCAAGTAGGTTTTTAAATGTATCTGCCGTCTAAACACATTTCTTCTGAACAAAATTTGTGTTTAAAGGGTAGATAAATTTTAAGACCTACCTGAGAAAACGGCCCTTAATGAACAATAGCTGGAGATTTTGGAGCGATAACACTGAAATTTAGTCCCGAATTGCTTACCTGATAAATTGTGCATCTGCTTTGGAACTAGCGATCACGTTGACATTGCCGTCAGCTACTCGCATGCCGAAACTAGAATTTACCTTTTATTAGCGTTATAGAACATACGTCCGATACTGATGACAGATCTAGCAATCGAAGTCTCCGCACTAATGCTTCCAGGGTCCGAAATAACGCATTCCATCTCCTTTAAAAAGAAGATTTCTTTCTACTTGCAGCTTTCCAAAACTAGCAAGTTCTTAATATGGCGGCCGTTCATTCTTCATCGAATTGATGGAGCCGCGTTCGTAGAGGTAAATCCGTTTTATTCTCACTTCCGAGTTGGCAACTTCTCTGCCAGAAAAACTGCACTCTTATACAACGACGACGACCGTTCATCAATAAAACAATGAGCTCGTACATGCCACTGAGACGCTAGATCAACGCCATCCTAGGCCGCCGCAGGTATGCAACGCCATTCGAGACCAGATTTCTTTTGAGAATGGTAGACTCTGCCTGCTTAGCGGTGACTGGATTTGTGAAGTTTCGCGCTATGAGGACTTTATCTACCTGTCAAAACGGCGACCATCCTTTTCCGCTTTTTTATTTTCTTGGAAGATCAGCTCCTGTAGTGGACATATTTTGCAAAATATCAGCGAAAATCCCTAGTGATTCAGACACGGAAAAGTCCCACATTGTGATCAAAGGATTGGGAGCGCTAGTCTCCAATGTGAGGCTTTGCGAAATCTTTGGTGTTTCAATGTTGTGCGAACTGAACATAGCCACTAACTAGCAAGTATTACCCGTCTCTAGAGCAAAGGGGCGCTTAAATCTACCTATACTTAATGGGGGGTGCTGGGCAATCATATCAGCGTGGCACCTAGAATAATTGAGTTTCAAAGTGGAAGTATTTTCGCCTTGCAAAGCAGTGCATACAGTCGGAGCATCGTGGTCGCGTAATTTAGTTTTTCTCTATGTACCATAAAATCTTATCCGTAGAATTTAAGTCAATCGAAAATTGTGTCTCATAGCTCTGCGCAGATTATTATCTGTCGTAAGATCATATGAGTTGTTTCTGCGACTTCTTAGTGCCGCGCACAAGCGGAGAAAGGGCGGAATTAATGGGTGTGCCATTTTTTAATGTTTGATAAGCGTATGAAAAACCAGGCAAGATGTCTCTTAGCCCGATATAGTCAACCCATCCTTCAGCCTCTAGAGATTTTGTGACTTTGTCGAGACCTCCAAATTAGGCGAGATGAAATGAGATTTGGTAAAAAGCTGCTTTGTTGGTTGAATTTTTTTTTTTTATACGATTAAGCTTTAGATTTTAGGGATTCTCTCTTTTCTGAATGAATTAGACCAACTGCGCGGTCATTACTAGTTAATAATCCAACCCGATAGTATAATAAGTGTGTAAATAAAAGGACTGTAATGAATTTTTAACCGAAAATCAGTGGTGATTATTGATTCCGGATGTGGAAGAACCGGCGGGCGGACGCCGAACAACAGACGGGATGATGTGAAGTCGCGAGGGGGCTTACGGGCGAAGTTTGGGGTCGACGAGAATTATGGGCCAATGTCGACGATGGTAGGGAGGGTACTATTTAAGGGTGGATATGTGGTGTACCTGTCAAACAGAAGAGGAGTACACATTTTCGTATGGTGCAGTTTCATGCAACGGTGGTCACAGCAACCAACACTCCGACGAGCAAGTTCGTACTAGAAGCAAGCGTACCCCGTGGCGAACCGAGCATGTGACTGGATGCAGGCGCAGGGTGAGGAGGTCTTCGCATTGAAAAGAAGTTGACGTAGCATCTAACGCCCCGTACGTAACATCCTGAACCGAGTACCATTTGAAATAGCCCATATAAACTAGCAACGTTGGTCTACACGATCATAGTAGCTTCGTTTACAAATTATTGACAATAATTCTGTCAAT